ATGCTCTTGGGAATATGTCAAGTCATTCATAAACCTGATCAAACTTCATTTTGACAACAGTTCATGAGGTAAATGTAATTAGCTCCACTTAACAGATGAGACTGAGACAGGTAAGTTAGGCAACTTGACCAGATCACATGGCTATTAATTAAATCAAAGCTGGAACTGCCAGGTTACAAACCTGCTAACCTGTAATCCTCTACTATATGAATCCATCTTTAAAAATATTTTATTCTATTTTTTTGACTTTTATTTTAATTTCAGGGGTACACGCACAGGTTTATTCTATGGAGAAATTACCTGTTGTGGGGCTTTGGTGTACATATTATTTTGTCACCTAGGTAAATAGTATAGTGCTCAACTGGTAGTTTTTTTGTTTTGTTTGTTTGAGACAGGGTCTTGCTCTGTTGCCCAGGCTGGAATGCAGTGGCGCAATCTCAGCTCACTGCAACCTCTGCCTCCTGGGGTCAAGTGATTCTCCCACCTCAGCCTCCAGAGTAGCTGGGACAACAGACACATGCCACCTTGTTTGGCTATTTGTTTTTGGTATTTTTTGTAGAGATGTGGTTTTGTCTTTTTGCCCAGGCTGGTCTTGAACTCCCAGACTTAAGTGATCCATCTCCCTTGGCCTCCCAAAGTGCTAGGATTACAGACATGAGCCACTGTGCTCGGCTGACAGATAGTTTTTTGATCCTTGCCCTTTTTCCATCCTCCACCCTCAAATAGGCCCTGATGTCTATTGTTCCCTTCTTATGTCCATGTGTACTCAAAGTTTAGCTCCCATTTATAAGTGAGAACATGTGGCATTTGGTTTTCTGTTCCTGTGTTAATTCACTTAGGATAATGGCCTCCAGCTCCATCCACTTTGCTGCAAAGGACATGATCTCATTCTTTTTCATAGCTGTGTAGTATTCCATGGTGTATATGTACTGCATTTTCTTTATCTAGTCTACTGTTGATGGGCATTTGGGTTGATTCCATGGCTTTGGTATTATGAGTAGCACTGCAATGAACATATGTATGTATATGTCTTTATGGTATAGTGATTTACATTCCTTTGGGTAAATATCCAATAATGGGATTGTTGGGTTAAATGGTAGTTCTAAATTCTTTGAGAAATTGACAAACTGCTTTCCGCAGTGGCTAAACTAATTTACATTCCCACCAACAGTGGGAGCTTTTTAATAACAGCTCTCTGACTGATATGAGATGGTATCTTACTGTGGTTTTGATTCATATTTATCTAATGATTAGTAATGTTGAATATTTTTTCATATGCTTGTTGACTGTGCATATGTCTTCTTTAGAAAAGTGCTTATGTCCTTTGCCCACTTTTTAATGGAATTGTCTGTTTATTACTTGCTACTTTAAATTTCTTATGGATTCTGGATATTAGATCTTTGTTAGATGCATAGTTCACAAATATATTCTCCCATTCTGTGAGTTGTCTATTTACTCTGCTGATAGTTTCTTTTGCTGTGCAGAAGCTGTTTAGTCTAATCAGGTTCCATTTGTCAATTTTTGTTCTTGTTGCAACTGCTTTTCGTGTCTTTGTCATGAAATCTTTGCCAGGGCCTATGTCTAGAATGGTATTCCTAAGTTTCTTCAAGAGTTTTTGTAGTTTTGGGTTTTACACTTAAGTCTTTAATCCATCTTAAGTTGATTTTTGTGTATGGTATAATATAAAGTAGGGGTCCAGCTGGGCATGGTGGCTCACGCCTGTAACCCCAGCACTTTGAGAGGCTGAGGCAGGCGGATCATGAAGTCAGGAGATCAAGATCATCCTGGCCAAAATGGTGAAATCCTATCTCTATTAAAAATACAAAATTAGCTGGGTGTGGTGGCACATGCCTGTAGTCCCAGCTACTCAGGAGGCTGAGGCAGGAGAATTGCTTGAACCTGAGAGGTGGAGGTTGCAGTGAGCCGAGATCGCGCCACTGCACTCCAGCCTGGTGACAGAGCAAGACTCCGTCTCAAAAAAATAAATAAATAAAAAGAAATAAAGAAGGGGTTCAGTTTCAATCATCTGCATATGACTGGCCAGTTATCTCAGCACCATTTATTGAATAGGGAGAGTCCTTTCCCGTTGCTTTTGTCAACTTTGTTGAAGATCAGATGGTATGCAGCTTTATTTCTGGGTTTACTTCTCTATTCTGTTCCATTGGTCTAAGTATCTGTTTTTGTCCAGTATTTCTGGCATACTGTTTTTGTACCAGTATTATTCTGTTTTGGTTACTGTACCCTTCCAGTATAGTTTGAAGTCAGTTCATGCCATGCCAACAACTTTGTTCTTTTTGCTTAGGATTGCTTTGGCTATTCAGGCTCTTTTTTGATTTCATATGAATTTTAGAATAGTTTTTTTCTAATTCTGTGAGGCATGTCTTTGGTAGTTTGATAGGAATAGCTTTGAATCTGTACATTGTTCTGGGCAGTATGACTATTTTAACAATATTGATTCTTCTTATCCATGAGCATTGAATGTTTTTCCATTTGTTTGTGTGAGTCCATCTTTGCACTCTGTTTCATCTGTGAATGTTTACAAATGAGTAGATAATGATAGATGAGGATAATCAGTCCTTTCTCAGAATATTCCTGAACAAGAGGTGACAAGCTAAAACTACACTTCTGACAGGAGATCCAAGCTAGTTTTCTTCAATAACAACAACAACAATAACAGTATTCTGAGGCACAATTATAGCTATTTATATAGTCAAAGAAATTCCTTCTTCAAGGAGATACACTTAATTCTAGGAGCCAACTAGAGTATTGAGAGAAGAGTTCAACATTAAATAATTCAATCATTGAGTTGTTATCTGGAAATGCTTGAGATCATAGTTTTTGTTGAGTACAGATTTTTACATTTTATTTTTCATTCATTCACTTATTCAGTGGTTATCTACTTATCTAGTGGACACTTATCTAGTGGACACCTACTACATGCTAGGCACTCTTCCAGGCATTTGAAATATAGCAGAGGACATAGTAGACAAAAAAAAAAATCCCTGCTCTAAGAGGGAAAATAATAATAAAAAAGAAAACAGAAATTTTGAGGGAAAAAGCCCCAAGAAACAACAATAAGAAAATCCCTGACCTTATAGAGTTTACAGCGCAGTGGAGGAAGATAGACAAATAAATATATGTTAGGCCGGGCATGGTGGCTCATGCCTGTAATCCTAGCACTCTGGGAGGCTGAGGCAGGTGGATCACGAGGTCAGGAGATTGAGACCATCCTGGCTAACACGGTGAAACCCTGTCTCTACCAAAAATACAAAAAATTAGGTGGATGTGGTGGTGGGTGCCTGTAGCCCCAGCTACTCGGGAGGTTGAGGCAGGAGAATGGCGTGAACCTGGGAGGCGGAGCTTGCAGTGAGCCGAGATAGTGCCACTGCATTCCAGCCTGGGCGACAGAGTGAGACTCCATCTCAAAGAAAAAAAAAAAAGAAATATATGCTAGATGATGCTAAGTGATATGAAATAGAAATAATGAAGGGCAAGTGGCAGAGAGAGGTGATGGTTTGTGTTCCTGGGTCAAGGAGAACCTCTCTGAGTTACTAGCATTAAAGTGGAGGCTTGAATGAATGACTGAGGGAGTAACCTATGTGAATATCTGAGGGAAGAGCATCCTACAGAAATGGAAAACAAGTGCAAAGGCCCTGAGCTTGATGTGTCTTAGAAAGAGTAAAAAAAAAAAAAAGGCTAGTAGGACTGGAGCAGAAAGAACAAGGAGTGGTGGTAGAGAAGGTCACAGAGGAAACTCCACCTACGCCCGATGGACTTCGTGGCTTTTCTCTGAAGAAGGTAGATCAGTTAGGCAGCTAGTATAATGACTGAGGTGAGGAATGATATGGGATGGCAGTAGAGGGGATGAGAATTGGTTGGCTATTGGACATATTTAAAAGCTGAATTGACAGGATTTACTGATAGATTGGAATGTAGAGTGTGAGAGATTGGGTGTGAGTATGATGAAATAGTTGTGTTAAAGTGCAAGTTAACTAATAGGGAAGGCGGGGGTGTGTGGGAAAGCCTTCAAAGTCCTCCTCAGGCCTGATTCTAGTGTATACAGACCATTTGACCTTGAGGTTACGTCAATAGGAGTCGCAAAATAACTGACTACTAAGAATAGGATGAAATCAGTGGTGACCCCTCTGCCCAGTGGGTCTTGTTCTGAGAGGTTGCCAAGCTAAATAGTGGTTGTGGGAAAAGAACAAATATCTGTTCTAATGATTGATTTCCAGTTAAGGAGAGGAATGGAAAGTAAAGGGGTAAGGACAGACGTTCATCAAGTCTTAGGGAGTTTCAGGGCTGGGAGTATATTGTAGGGCCAAGCCATAGTTTTTCCCTGGCTTTCCATTTTTTTCTGTCTTTCCTTTTTTCCTAATTTCCCCACTCCCTCCTTGGTCCAAGTTCTTGCCTGCAGAAAGGTACAGTTTACCTCTAGTTCTCAAACTTCAGCGGGCATCCGAATTCCCTGGAGGGTCTGTGAAAATACAGATTGCTAGGCCCCACTCCCAGAGATTCTAAGTGTGTGTGTGTGTGTGTGTGTGTGTGTGTGTGCGTGTGTGTGTGTAGAGGGATGGTGGACGAAGGCGCTGAGATTTTGTATTTCTAACAGGCTCCCAGGTAATGCTTGGGAAGAACTGTTTCTTCTTGGACAGGCACACTTACAAGGCAACGGGATCTTGAGCTCCACCTTGAAGGATGTGAGCTGGGAAAGTTTCAGCTCACAGAGATTTACAGTCACTTGAGAAATGGCCCACTTCCTCCAAGGTGTTTCTTGGATGCCCCAAACGGATGAAAACAAGAAGCGACCGTGGGCGAGGAGGAGGAGCTGGCCGTCCTCCTCGGTTGGGCAGCCCGTCGGAGCTCACCAGCGAGGCGAGGGCGGGAAGACAGCCCCCAGGCCGGCCCACGGATCCTCAGAAGGCGCGGACCTGGAGGAGGCGCTCCAGAAGGCGACGCCTCTTGCCTCTCGCCTCTCGAAGGAAGTTTGCTCTTAATTTCAGAGCCGGGTTCGCCGTCGGCTCAACTCCAGGAGCAAGCAGCGGGCGCGGACCAGAGCGGCCAGTTCCCCGGGGGCGGGCCGGGCAGTTGCCGAGCTCAGCAGCGGCGGCTCGCGGCCATGGGCGGCTCAGCCTCCAGCCAGCTGGATGAGGGCAAGTGCGCTTACATCCGAGGTACGCCCCCCCCGCCCGGGAGCCTGGGGAGCCCCCTGACCCCTGCAACAGGCTGGCTGCCGCTGTCGGGGCCCCAGGGGGCGCGCCCGGGGCCCTCTCCCTGCAGCGCGCGGGGATCCCCGACCGCAGCCCGCCCGCGCGAGCCAGGTTTCCTGCCCCAGCCGGCGCGCTCCGGCGCAGGTGTGGACCCGGGACCCGGAGGGCTTGGGAGCGAGGCAGGTGCAGGATGCGGGTGGGGACGCCGGCGCCTCCGCCGCTCCCTCCGCCTCGGGGTCAGTGACGCCCCCGTCCGGCGCACTTCGCCCTCAGGTACCTGCTCTGGACCGAGTTCTGAGCGGTTTCTGAACTGGCCGCCAAGAGAGCAACGGGGATATCCCGCGTTTCTAGAGATACCCCTGGGGATTCCCGGCCGCTAAAGCAGAATTTCCCTCTTAGTAATGTTGGTCTGGCTTTGGAAAGCACGGCGTCTGCCGCAGCTTCGCTCGCGCTTCACCGTAGCACTAGCAGCCTGATTTCATCAGCGGCAGAAAGGACAATATCATGCCGTTCCCTTCCCGCCCCGGAGAGGGGGAAGCAAAAGAGGAACACTGGCGTGCTTTGTAACTGTCGCGAAAGTTACAGATGGGGAGAAACTCATTTAGGGAGACCCTCAGAGATGTGGGGACTCAATAGAGAGCGTGAGGCAGAAACAAAACAAAACAAAACCCAAACCGAACTGAAACTGCAGGAAGTCCTGACTGTTATCTCCTTTATTTCCTGGGTGTATTTGGCCTCCCCTCTTCTCACCCCCCACCCCAACATTGCCTTCAACCGCTACCTAACATTTGGTTATCTTACCAATGGACTGTTCTTCCCCCGCCCCGCCGCCCTATCCCCCACCCTCGGCTTCAGAAATATCTTCCAGACTAGGTATTAAACTCTAGGTCTGTTTGGCCCTTGAATCCTTTCCTAAGAGGAAATCATTTATTTGTTGTTCTTATTCCATATTTGTTTTCAGTCACCACATTTAAGACCATTTAAAAAGGATATCAAATCAGGGCACTTGAAGAGCAACGGAGTTGATTTTACAGATTCCTGCTCTGGTGCTTTTCGAGATAAAAGATCAACAATGGGGATAACACTTTGTCAAGTATCTCTTTGCTTTTGTTTGTTAAAAGGGGAAAAGATGGATGATTTATTTATATTAGTAAAACAGCTGAACTAAGCTTAAAAGAAATAAATGAAGCCTGCCTTAGTCTTAAAAGTGTGGTTACATGCTTGTGTTACCAGTGCATAGGGACTGAAAGGGCAATCTAGCAGAACTTAGTGAGAAAGGGCTTGCATTTGGATGTTAGCAAAATTGTGTTTAAGGCATTTATATAAGACTTTATTTCACTGGAAAGCCTAGGCGCACCTAACCTGAAAGCATGGCCATGTGTACACTAATCATTTGAAGTCAAGAAATGTGAAGGATTAACTTGCTTAAAGAAGACTTCCTGGCCATGCCATTTGTTGCTATTGATGCAAACATTGTACTCAGATAATAAGAAAATTTATTACCTTCTTTATTCTGAAAGCTATTAAATTATTACACATACAAAAGTGTGAGGGAGTTAGGGCAAGTGAAGAACTTGTAATGCATGTGTTTGAATGAGTAAACCTATAGCATATGGTGTGACAGTCATTACATCCCCCAGTCTTGTTCAGCTTTCTCTCTTCATTCTATATTCAGGAGGGCACTTGCAAGGTATGTGTAGTGGGAGAGGGAAGAGAAGAGTTAAAGTTAGAATACCTCCAGAGAAGAAGACTCATCGCTTCATGTGAGAATGCTAGTCTTGCCAAAAGAGAAAAGAACCTTGGAAAAATGCAGGGTGTTGTACATTGTTAGTGCGTGAGCAAATGAGGGTCACGGGGCTGTGATTTCCTGATGGTTTTGAAGCCCAGGTTCCTGAGTAAAATCATAGCCTTATCTTTACCTCTTTGCCCATTTTTTAACCTATAGATATTCTCAAGCTTTGATTCAATTGTAAGCAAAACGATCGAAAGTATGACAGTAAAGTTTAAATATACTTTTATGACCTGTTTCTCATAAAGTAGCCATCAGGGAAATACAGATTTGAAAGCTCCTGAAGCTGAGACAATAACTTTCTTTTAAGCTTGATAAACTTTGCTAACAAGGAGAGTAGCTAGTCAATATATTTTGAGTGACTTTTGTTAACTTTGGTTTGTATGCATTATAAGCAGCTGTATGCTGCTGACGCTGAATCAGCCTTTACCTCAAGACAAATCATTTAATAGCTGCCATTCCTTGGGTGCCTGAAAACACCTGCGTCATATGGATGTTTTGATAATACATTGTTTCTTAGGATTTAGTTAATCTCCAGGTAAAGATATATCAGCTATTCTAAGGAGTGACTTCATTTCCAAAGACGTTAGTTTTAGAACAATGCTCATGTTTCTTACAACAGAATAAATTTTTAGGATTGTTTCTAGAGGCCTTTCAGTAATGTCCCTTGATAAGATGTTTCTATTAATAAATAATACCGAGACCAACTTGTGATCACATGAGCCGTGTCATATGTTCGTCTTAAGTGATGCTTTTAGCACTGACCTAAAATGATCTGGTTTTTTTTTTTTTTTTTTTTTTTTGAGACAGAGGCTCGCTCTGTTGCCAGGCTGGAGTGCAATGGCGCGATCTCGGATCACTGCAACCTCCGACTCCCTGGTTCAAGCGATTCTCCTGTCTCAGCCTCCCGAGTAGCTGGGATTACAGGAACGCGCCACCATGCCCAGCCAATTTTTGTGTTTTTAATAGAGATGGGGTTTCACCATGTGGGTCAGGATGGTCTCGATCTCCTGAACTCATGATCCGCCCACCTCGGCCTCCCAGAGTGCTGGGATTATAGGCGTGAACCACCGCGCCCAGCCTATCTTTTTTTTTTAAAAATGAGGAAGAAAGCTCATAGATTCCAGGCATCAGTGGTCAGTTTGGGTGCTCTTCTCTCTTTATGCCATGTTTTCTTTTCTTTTTTTAGTTTTCTGAGACAGGGTCTCACTCTGTTACCCAGGCTGAAGTGCAGTGGTGCAATCACTGTGAGCCTTGACCTCCCCTGGCTCAGGTGATCCTCCCACCTCAGCCTCCTGAGTAGCTGAACTACAAGTGTGTGCCACCATGCGCAGCTAATTGTTGTATTTTTTGTAGAGATGGGGTTTTTGCCATGTTGCCCAGGCTGGTCTCAAACTCCTGGGCTCAAGCAATCTTCCCACCTTGGCCTCCCAAAGTGCTGGGATTACAGGCGTGAGTCACCGTGCCTGGCCTCTTTTTCTTTAAAGCTTTTGGTAGGCCTGAAATTAAACTATCGTTTACAAAATTTACCCAAACCAAACCAAAACCAAAAAAAAAAAAAAAAAAAAAAAAAAAAACCCAAAACCCAAAACCCCACAAAGTGTTTTCCTGTTTAAGCAATAATTTTATTTCCTTCTAAAAATTACCCTTGAATTTTTAATGAATCAAAAAGAAAACAAACCTGAAAGCTCTCCCATATAAGAAGTCCTGTGGAGGGTCGGAAAAGTACTGGACAGTCAGTGCTTCAGCTGAGAGCTATGGGATACAGAGATCCTGGTGGGCGCTTGCAGGCCTGCCAGCAGCGGATACCAGTTAGAAAAACGGTTTCTCCCCCACTGGATTTATTATTGCATAGTCAGTTACACAATATATAAAGGGCCCAGTGGCTTCCTCCGAATGCTCCTCAATGATCTGATGCTTATAAAGTAAGAAATGAGTTTCAGCTTTAAAATAGCACATATTTTACTCAGAGGAGTTCTCTCTTATTTATACAAGGGTTAACTTAGGTGGCTAGATATAAAGTTTAAAGTGATGTGTCTAGAATGAAGTCTCCATGGGCAAGGTGGAGGATGCGGAGAGCTGTACATATCTGCTGTCTACTTCGTGTAGATGTGTCGCACTAGTCTACGCATTTGCTGCTTCGGTTATAATTTGTTGGTGGGAGATGGGCATAAGAACTGGTCTGATTTAACCTGAATATTTTTCGTAGTGTAATCTTAGAGTCCAAGTTGGCTAGTAATGGCAATATACTGTGATGAGAAAGTTAGGAAATGCATTATGGTAGACACTGTTGTATGTCAACCCAACATCCTTTTCCCATTCCTCCATTTTTTAATTTAATTTTATTTTTTTGGGACAGGGTTTCACTCTGTCACCCAGACTACAGTGCAGTGGGGCAATGATGGCTCACTGCAACCTCGACCTCCGTGGGCTCGAGCGATCCTCCCACCTCGCTGTCCTAAGTAGCTGGGAGTACAGGCATGTGCCACCATGCCCAGGTAGTTTTTTTGTGTTTTTTTTGTAGAGACGGGGTTTTGCCATATTTCCCAGGCTAATCTCAAACTCCTGAGCTCAAGTGAGCCACCTGCCTTGGCCTCCCAAAGTGCTGGGATTACAGGTATGAGCCTCTGTGCCCAGCCCCCATTCCTTTTTCTAACAGAACTCCAGTTTTGTTCAGGTATTAAAACTCCTGGCCAGGTTTGGTGGCTCATGCCTGAAATCCCAGCACTTTGGGAGGCTGAGGCAGGAGGATGGCCCAAACCCAGAAGTTTGAGACCAACCTGGGCAACATGACAAGACCTCGTCTCTCTCTAAAAAAAAAAAAGCAACTCCCGATGTTGCCCTCTGTTTCAGAGACGCTAGCCCCATTTAAGGCCCCTGAAAGGTGGCTATACCTGTCATGGTGGTGTGGTCTCCTTGCCAGTGATTATAGTAGGCATGGGATTATGTTGCCAACTGGTCAGTGATGCTTGAGGGGAAGTCTGCCAGCTGCTTCTAGGCGAGTTTTCTTCCCTTTTAAAAAGGAGGCAAAGTGAAGGGCACTTCCTCTCCTTCTTTTGACTTTGTTGCATCTGAATGTGATGCCTGCAACTGCTGTTTTTATCTTGATGAGCAGGAGGGGAGCTAGCTTAAAGATAAAGCCAATACTTGGAGCACTGCAAAGCTGAAGTGTCTT